AACTTTCTTGCTTCAACAGTAGTTGAGATTAGCAATATGGAGTCATGTAATCAATTTTAAATGATCCATAAATAAATTGACTGGCCATTTTTTGGGGTCCATAGACCAGAGCATTTTATAATCTGGATAAAGAACTGACTTTATCATGATACCAAATTATTGTAGTTACACTAATTCAGCCAATATAGAAGATCTGGGTAAAATGATGTGGCCCTGCCTAACAGGACTGTTATTTTCCTTGTTTAAGATATATCACCTCAGATTAAAAAAAAAAAAGATATAAATAATCCTTGGTTTGCTATCATACAAATCTCTAGTCTCTGGAACACATAGCCATAAATTGCTTCAACTTTTCAAAATAGGTCTTTGAGATTATGACTACATCATATCCACAGTCTCTTTCTTGCCTATGAGCCCTACCATAGACTGCTAATTCATGGACCATTTTTTATTAGCAACAGTTACACAGTAACAACAGTTACTGTTTGAATGTGACCTGTGTTTGGCTGTAGTACTTTCCAGCTATGAAGCGAAGGGTTGGCTGCACTGGACAGTCAGTATGTATTGTAATTTGTACAAAAAGGACTATGTGCCTTGGAAGAGGAACAGGAAGTGCTCTGGGAAAGTGGAAGCATTTCTACTAAAATACAAATTTCCCAGGTTAGGGCCCTGTTTGCCCCTGGGGTGAAAGGGAAGAGCTAGGGAGGCTTCTGCTGTCTGTGTCATTTTATCTCTGATCACCCAAGTAAGGGAGTTGCTCCTATCCTGAGTCCCAGTTGGGTGGCCTTAGCTAATGTGGGACCCTGGGAAGGCTTAGCACTTAGGAGTACCAGTGGTAGGTAGCTTGCAGGTTCTTTCTAGGATTCTCCTCTCACTCTGCTATAGGGAGCTATGAGGGAAAGCACAACCCATGCCATAGTGAGTGGCATAGTGAGAATAGACCAAGAGGAGCAATTCTGCTGAGCTGTCAGCTTCTGTGACTAGGATGTACAAGAGCCAGATTGTGGTTCCTTTGGTCCATGTGATGATCTGGGCATCTTCTCTAATATTCCCTGAATGTGGATTCTGTCAGGAGAGGGAGGCTCTGCTGCCCTGGCTATTTGAAGCTTTGATATTTGTAATATATGTGTCCACTGTGCACACACAGGCATTGCTTTTAGTGTGAAGTGTAAAGACAGATTGGAAAACTGAAGGTCTGGTTTCTAGAAATTCTGAACATTGCACTTTGCTTTCAGATTTTTCTTATAAATGTTAGAAATATTTAAAAATGGGTAGAAAGAAGTATTGGGGATCATTCTTCAGCAATATGTGATTAGAATGCTTTAAAATTTCTGATATCAGTCTCAATCTGATACAGGAAAGTTCAGTTCCAGGGGAGAAAAGAAGTTTCTGAGCTGCAGAGATATTTAAGATTTGCATGTTGTTGGGCATGTGGATAGGGCAGATACCACATTATATGCCTTAACCCATGTGGTAGGACATAGACATTAAATTATTCTTGTACACTGGTTTGTGATTGGGAATCAGTGGGGCTGAGTTTGCCTGAAACCACAAGGGGACATGAGAATTTGCAAAACTATTTTCTACAAAGTTTAAACATCAGAAAGCTTCAAGTGAATCTCTCCAGTTTTGGTGGAATAGCTCTCCTTGCCCAATTCATTTTTTGTTACTGGCAAAGGGCAGAATCAGAATGCACAGAATGAGTACTGGCCAGTGATTTCTTGTGGTTTAATTTTGATTAGAATCTTGTCATTCTTGTTTAAGGGACCATGATCTATATTTTTAGGTATGTCTTTTTGTCTTGTTTGGTCAGTGGTGCCATCTATGTTGTTGATTTTATTAATTATCTAAATTTTTTGTTGTTTCTCAGGAAAATGATGGCTGTTCACTGAAGACAAATTGCTAAACAGTCTTATTAAATAAGAAACATAGAGCCAGAAATTGGGGTTAAAGCCTGAGATTAGTGGAATAGGAAAAGTGATAGCTAACCTCACATCATTAACTCTGCAGCTTCCAAAGAGAGCTACTTCCTGTATACTCACACCTATATGCCTTTCTGTTCTGCTCTCTCATTGGCTCTCTCAGTCCAGCTACATTACTTCCTCTTCTGCCCAGCTCTGTCACTTCCTGTCTATCTGTACAGACCTTCAGACCTCTATGGTTAGTGTTGTCACCATGCCTGGTTCTGTTCCCCCGATGTAGCCTTGAACTCACAGAGGTTCAGACAGATCCCTGCCTGCCAAATGATAGGATTAAAGGCATATGCTACCATTGCCTGACTTCTGTGTTTACTTATAGTGGCTATCGTGGCTGACTTATTTCTCTGATCCTCATATAAATTTTATTGGGAGACATATATATATATGGGGACACAATACATCACCACAGTTCACCTTTTTTATTTTTTTTTTCAGAAAATTTACTATATTATGTTATGGGTTTCTGGAGTTTATGTTGGTTTGGGAAGTTTTTGTGAGAAACAGTTTTAGTTTTCTCTTCTTGATCTTAGAGGCTCATTTTGTAGATGTAATCAACCATCTTATTAAATAAGAAACACAGAATCAATGCAAAGAAGAAAGCCAAGAGATCAGAGCTAAGAGCCTTACTGCCTGCTGCAGCTAGCCTCTTCAGCCAAGAGACCTCTCTGAAAGAGACCTACTTCCTGTCTGTTTGTCTTTATATAGACTTTCTGTTCTGCCTTCTCATTGATTGTAAAACCAACCACATGACTGACTCGTCACTGTCTGTTGTACAGCCCTCCAGGTCTTCTATGGTATTGAGATTAAAGGCGTGTGTCTCCAATGCTGGCTGTATCCTTGAACACACAGAGATCTACCTAGCTCTGCCTACCAAGTGCTGGGATTAAAGGCCTGCACCACCACCACCCAGCTTTCCTATGGCTTGCTAATAGCTCTGACCCCTGGACAACTTTATTTATTAACATACAAATAACATTTTAGTACAAAATAAAATATCACCATATCACTTCTCATTTTTTGAAGTATCTATGTTTTCCAGTTGTTGCTCTCTTCCTGTTTGGGTTTTTACTGCTTAAATGATTGATATGGTTAATATATAGGTTTTGTGTTTTTAAAATCTTCTCATATATTATTGTCTCTGTCTTAATTAGCCTCAGATGTCAACATGATAGAGCCTAGAGTCATTTGAGGGAACATTAATTGAGGCTTTGCTCAGATCAGAATTGCTAGTTATTATGTTTGTGAGAATTGTGTTGATTGAAGATTGATGTAGGAAGGCTCTTCCACTAAGGTTTCAATACCCTAAGCAAGTGGGCCTGAGATGGATAAGAGATCTAGCTTAGGATAAGACAGTGACCATTGTATATTGAAAATACTTAATTTGTTTCTTGATTTTATAAGATATGACAGTCAAGAGATTGTCTTGAGTGTCAGAAGAGACCTTGGACATTTGCACTGTTTGAGTTGTTACAGATTATGAGGATCATTGAACTTAGACTAAATGCATTTGTATTTTTTATTTTTATTTGTATCTATTCTTATCTCATACAATACATCTTGGCTGCAGCTTTCCCTTCCTCCACTCCTTCCAGTCTCCTCCCCAAATTCCCATTTCCCCAGATCCACTGCTATTCTGTTTCCCTTCAGAAAAGAGCGGGCCTCCCAAGGATATCAGCCAAACACATCATAACAAGGTGCAATAAGACTAGGCACAAACCCTCATATCAAGGCTAGACAAGGTAACCCAATAGGAGGAAAAGGGTTCCAAGAACAGGCAAAAGAGTCAAAAGATACCACAACTCCTACAGTTAGTTCCCACAAATACCCCAAGCTAAACAACCATAGCATGTATGCAGAAGACCTGAAATAGAGCCATGCAGGCTCTATGATTGCCACTTGAGTTTCTCTGAGCCCCTATGAGCCCTGCTTAGTTGATTCTGTGGGCCATGTTTACCTGATTTCCTCAACCCCTCTGGATCCTCCAGTCTTCAACCTCCCCCTTCCACAGGATCCTAGAGCTCAAGCTAAAGTTTGGGTAGGGATCTCTGTATGTGCTCCCATCATCTGCTGGAAGAAGCTTCTCTGATGACAACTGGGCTAGGGACCAATCTATGATTATAGCAGAATATAGTTATGAATCATTTCATTAATTTTTTTCTTGGTCAGTTGTATTTGGTTCTACCCTAGTTCTCTGAGCCATCCAAGTTCAGTGTCAGGCATGGGCTTTCTCTTACAGGTTGGACTTCAAGTTAGACCAGTCATTGGTTGATCTCCTGCTCCATGTTGATTATTTTGAGCAACATTTACATTGCTATTGTTTTCATCTGCTCATTTGTAACTGTTTAAACATGCAGTGAGTGCCTTTAGTAAAATCTTATTGATGTTACAGTTTAAATTAGGGCCCTTCAAGTTTCTGGAAGATAAATACAAAACTGGAGTGAATATATAACTCTTTGTAGGAACTTTAGTAAAAACCTCTGAGTTTTTTTTTTTTTAATTTTTTTTGTTTGACTGATTTTTGTATGGGAGGCATGGTCTTAATATGTACTTCTGGCTATCCTGGACCTGATTGCATAGACTAGGCTGGCATTTAACTCAGAGACAGATTTATGTGCCTCTGCCTTCTGAGTATTGAGATTAAAGGTATGAGTCAATACATCCAGTTTGTCCATCTTATTTTTATTTTTTGTAGTTAGTAGTTTTACATATAATTTATCTCATGTATACTTTATTTTTTTCTCCCCTCCCCCTCATGTATACTTTATACTGTTACTTCTCTCTCTCTGTTAATAGTCATTTTTCTTGCAAGGTGATATCCTATTCAAAGGGTACAGAAATGACAGAGGTGGCCCTCCTATTCAATTTCCTTCTAAAGCAACTTGGTGATTACATTATAATGTCCATGTCATGGAATAAATGTGGGGGACACCAGAATGATATGACTATACTGTCAAAGAAGTATACATTTACAGTGTTGTCAGTACCATGCTTTTTGTTTTATAAATGTATGACATATTTTAGGATGCAGTGATCTATAATGATGTGCATGTTGACTTCACTTGGGAAGAGTGGACTTTGCTGGATCCTTCCCAGAAGAATCTCTACAAAGATGTGATGCTGGAGACCTATAGGAACCTCACTACTATAGGTAAGACTGAATTTTCCTTCAGGTTTTAAAATAAGGGGACAATTGTTCTTGGTTATTGATGCTCTTCTGTAATTTAATTGAGAAAGAAGGAGGAGGAGATAAATAAATCAGTTATGCTTCTAAAGTTCACTGAAGATTGTAAATTAAAATTTTGCATAATTTTCAATAATATAACATAAAACTTTCTGGTACTACATTTTAGGATATAATTGGGAAGACCATAATACTGAAGAACATTGTCATAATATTGAAGAACATTGTCAAAGTTCTAGAAGACATGAAAGGTAATTTTCTTGTGCAAGATGATACAAATGTGCCTCTAAAGAAATTCTAATATTTCCTGAAACTTTTAAACAAAAGCAACAGTGTAGATAAGGACAGCTTAAAGTTAATTGATGATTATTAAATTCTCACAAAACCATATACCTCAGTTTCAGGTAGGTGAATTGCATCTGCAAGGCATTCTTTTAAGAAAGAAGAAAAGAAAAAATGCCTTTAACAGATATCACCATTTGAATCATAGTGCCATGAGAGCTATGCTGTAGAACTGTCACTCCATTTATTTCATGCTACTCATATTACAAAAGGTATACATATTGAAGAGGTGATAAGTATATCTTCAAAACTTTCTAATAAGCAAATAGTCCATAGTAAAGCTAGTGTACCTCTTATATTTTTTGCAACTGTGCTAAATTTAGTGAGATCAGGGGCAGTTAAGAGTCAATAGTCAAGGGGTAATTGTTGTGGACTAACCTTAATCCCTATATCACAAGTCCATGAGGAACAGAAAGTCAAACTGTGAGAATTCAGTGTGGAAACCTTTTATTTGTTATTTTTCCTTTACTAGGTATATCATATGTTATTCTGGACACAAGCCCTATGAGCATAAGGATATGGAAAGACATAACAACCCCTCTCTCTGAACCATTAGAAGATATGTAGCAGTCCTCACATTGAGTATTCTTGTTGAATTTGATTCAAGTATACAAGTAATTGGTTTTTCCAGCTTCATTGTTAATGTATCAACAAACTCACATTGCAGAAGAGTCCTATGAGTACTAGGACTGTGTAAATACTTTTGTTTGTCCTAGTTCACTTAGCAAATGTAGTATGACTCAAAGTATAGGAAAATTTATAAACGCAATAAGGGTGATAAAACTCTGAGTTTTTCCAGTTCTCTTCAAATATGTGAAAAGTCTCATATAGAAAAAAGATGCTATAAATGTGAACCATGTAATAAAGGATTTTACCATCATAAGTATCTTCAAAGAGGCAAAATAATCCTTAATGAAGAACAACACAAGTGTAAACACAGTGATAAAACCTTAAGATCTGATTCCTCTTTATAATTGGACCAAATTGTAAAATTAATTTATACAGCTATAAACATTCAACAGTGTATTAGATGTGGTAAAATGTTTACATATGCCAATTATCCTTGCAGGCATGAAAGAAGTCAAGCTGAAGAGAAACCTTCTGCATATACTCAATGCGTTAAAGCCTTTGCATATGACACTCATCTTCAATGGAAAGAAAGAACACATACTGGAGAGAAACCTTATGAATGTAATCAGTGTGGTAAAGCCTTTGCAAGTCACAGTTATTTCCAAATACATAAAAGAATACATACTGGAGAGAAACCCTATGAATGTGATCAGTGTGATAAAGCCTTTGCACGTCACAATAATCTTTTAATGCATAAAAGAACACATACTGGAGACAAACCCTATGAATGTGATCAGTGTGGTAAAGCCTTTGCACGTCACAATAATCTTCTAATGCATAAAAGAACACATACTGGAGACAAACCCTATGAATGTAATCAGTGTGGTAAAGCGTTTGCATTTCACACTTCTCTTCAACGGCATGAAAGAACACATACTGGAGAGAAGCCATATGAATGTAATCAATGTGGTAAAGCCTTTGCACAACCCAGTAATCTTCAAATGCATAAAAGAACACATACTGGAGAGAAACCCTATCAATGTAATCAATGTGGTAAAGCCTTTTCACATCTTGGTCATCTTCAAAGGCATGGAAGAACACATACTGGAGAGAAACCCTATGAGTGTAATCAGTGTGGTAAAGCCTTTGCACATCTCAATACTCTTCAAATGCATAAAAGTGCACATGCTGGAGAGAAACCCTATGAATGTAATCAGTGTGGTAAAGCCTTTGCACAGCACAGTCAACTTCTAATGCATCAAAGAACACACACTGGAGAGAAACCCTATGAATGTAATCATTGTGGTAAAGCCTATGCACATCTTAGTACTCTTCAAATGCATCAAAGATCACATACTGGAGAGAAACCTTATGAATGTAATCAGTGTGGTAAAGCTTTTGCAAGTCACAGTTATTTCCGAATACACATAAGAACACATACTGGAGAGAAACCCTATGAATGTTATCAATGTGGTAAAGCCTTTGCATTTCACAAAAGTCTTCAGCGGCATGAAAGAACACATACTGGAGAGAAACCCTATGAATGCAATCAATGTGGTAAAGCCTTTGCAGATCTTAGTACTCTTCAAAGGCATGAAAGAACACATAGTGGAGAGAAACCCTATGAATGTAATCAGTGTGGTAAGGCCTTTGCACGTTGCAGTCATCTTCAAATGCATCAAAGAACACATACTGGAGAGAAACCCTATGAATGTAATCAGTGTGGTAAAGCCTTTGCACAGCACAGTCATCTTCAAATGCATCAAAGGACACATAATGGAGAGAAACCCTATGAATGTAATCAGTGTGGTAAAGCTTTTGCATGTATCAGTAGTATTCAAAGTCATGTGAAAAAATTACACTGCAGAGAAACCATTTAAATATAGTCAATGTGATAAAGTTTTGCACTTTATATAAGAGTAATAATTCTTGTGTGCAATCAGTCTGTTAAAGCCTTTGCATATTGCAATAGTCTTTGAGTACCTGAAAAAAGTATTTGGTAAGATCTTTAGTCAACACACATTCAGTTACACAAGTGTATTTATTCTGGAGAAGAAATTTTTACAGTGTCAACAACCTGTTCAAGTATTAAGATGTCTGTCTATTTTGTTTGTACCTTCAAACTCATGGAGAAAAAAGCCCTATGAATTTAAATGAGAAGATAACCCTTTGGGAAATTCATATTTACCTTCAATTACATGAAACAGCTAGTTCAAGTGTAAAACTTTATGGATGTGTATTAGTGCCTTTTCTGTGTTGTGATATAATGTCTATGCCAACTTATAAAATAGTTTAATTTGGCCCTTTGTTTCAGAGGGATATAAGATCACCATGAAAGTGGTATAATAACAAGTGTCAGACATGGCAGCTAAAGCAGGAGTCTAGGATTTCACATCCTTAACCTGCAACATGAAGCAGAGAGTGAGAACTGGAAATGGTGTGTGGATGCAAATTCTCAAAGCCTACCCCAAGTGATATATTTCCTCCAGCAAGGCCGCATTTAACCCATTTCCTAAATCTTTCCAAGTGATAACACCAACTGAGAAGGATTGATTTCTCTAACTTCAATCTTACATGTTTGCTTTCTGTTACATGAACCAATTCATGATGAAGAAAAACTCTGTAAGTAATCCTTTATATGCCTCAACACCTGTGTAACAGGGATGAATGCTTACAAGAGAAAAACTGTCATGAGTGAAAATTTGTTTTTTTAGATTAATTTTAATTATAATTATGTGATGTTAGTGTTGTGTGGGTATGTGTGCTACAGAATGCAGAAATATGAAGTAGGAATTCAGCTGACTATGGCAAAGCTATTAGCTGGAAGATTCAAGGATTTTTCCAGAGAAAGCCAAGACTCAAGGAGTATTGGTATTATTTGGTTTTTGAATATATCAGCTGTTTTCTTCTATGAATGTGAACTATTATAGATTTCCCAATTGATTCTTTTTTCTAAGAACTTCTAAACAGTGTGGATTGATCATTCTTTGGGCATATACAATTAAGATATTTGGATGACAGTCACACAGGTAAGGCTTCCTTCTTCTAGGCTTTTTGTTTCTCTTTTTTAGCATTAGAATCAAATATCTCCTCTAGCTATCATCCAAGGCCAGGGCCAGCTCTGGACAAAAGCAGTTTTATCTGACATACCTCTCAAACAGCCAAGGACAAATGACAGGCAGAATAAGCATTCCAGACCACCTGCTAGTCTCCTGAATTAAGGTAAATATCCATATTGTAGCTAGAGTTTTCCTGCCTTACCCACAGTCAGGACAAATCTTTGTCACCCGCCAGTCCCAAGCCGCTCAGACACGACCAAGTAAACACAGAGACTTATATTGCTTACAAACTGTATGGCCATGGCAGGCTTCTTGCTAACTGTTCTTATATCTTAAATTAACCCATTTTTATAAATCTATACCTTGCCACGTGGCTGGTGGCTTACCGGCGTCTTTACATGCTGCTTGTCCTGCCGGTGGCTGCAGTGTCTCTCTTCCTTCTTCCTGTTTCCCCAATTCTCCTCTCTCTTTGTCCCACCTATACTTCCTGTCTAGTCACTGGCCATCAGTGTTTTATTTTTATAGAGTGATATCCACAGAACCATATGGAGACACCACCTAGGCCAGATGGATGTTAGGTACATAGCTTTGTTTCTTGCTCAATTAAGCTCAGATCCTCCTTTCTTACACAGCCTTAGTGGTATCTCTAGACTTCCCTTTTGACATTTAATTTAGAAGAAAAGGGCTTTTTGCACACCAGGTACATCAAGCTGTGACACAGCTGCCTAGATGCCCCTGCCCTGCCAGCAAATGGTACAGCTGAGTTATACTGAGACAGACAGAGCCCTAAAGAAATACAGGCAGTTTTATCTTACTCATGATTTATACTAACATTGTAAACTCCTAACATTTTTTCCTAGCCACTTGTAAGATTATAGTTTGAAGACATAAATTCCCTTTTCAGTATCTCTCAACTGATTTCAGCCTTCAGTTGACCCCACCTCCTTTAATCACTCTCCTTTGTGTTGTAAATGAAACTGCAATCACTGTGCTTTGGGTGAATCCATTCACCTCCTCTTTTGACTCCTGGAAGCTGGATTGTGCATGGGAAAAGACTTACTGCTTGTAAGTGTTTGCTGATTTCTTAGACAAAGTATTAATTTTGTTGGATGGCTGTTATTGATGTCATTCAGGTCTACAGTGTAAAAGAAACAAATGGGATAGAAAGAAATGAAAAGTCAGTTTCATAGAGAAAAACAGAAGTAGATGGTTTCAGATGGCAGTCCAGTGCTGAAACAGAGGCAGGAATTTTCAGGGAGTTTAATCATTAAAGGGAAGGCTCTTGCTCTGTATTGGAAGCTGAGAAAGATTCCCCAAGGATAAGAATCCATCCAGCTGAGCCTTCAATTTATGGAAGGAGTAGGCAAAGTGGTTCCTAGTCCCAGGAGGCTTCATATAAAGCCTGCTAAAAATATGGTCCATGTGTGGCAGGATCCATCACAATTTAGAAGCCTAATTCAAGGGGATAATTCATGATGTAGTGGTTCTGGAAACAAGAAAAATGCAAATTTTAAAGTCATTGCATCCTCTGTGATTTCAGTTCATCACTGTTGCACCCATCTACGTTTGGCAGAGTCAGAGTCCCAGTGAGGAGACAGAGTTTATTGCAAGAAGCTGCGAAGATAAATTCTAAGTTGTATTTAGAGACCTCAAGGTTGAGATACCTAAACTATGTGAAATCTGCCACAGAGAGCTGCATATAGGGAGTGGACATAACCTAGAGAAAGATGTATGAAAAGTTGCAGGGATAGGGCCATCTAAACTCTTTGAAACTGAAGCCCCATGTGTCTGACACAGAACTACTACTGGATTTGATGGTTGCCCTGCTGGGTTTCAATCTTGCCTTGGTCCAATCTTCCCTCATTATATCCCATTCCTCTCTTTTGGAATGTCAATTTGTATTCTGTGCCATTGTGTGTTGGAAAGATGTAACTTGTTTTCTGGTTTTGCAAGATATCACAGTCAAGCAATTGTCTTGAGCGTCAGAAGAGACTTTGGACATTTGAACTGTGTAGGGGTTGTTGCAGACTATGAGGATCATTAAAATTAGGCTTAATGCATTTTCATCATGGGATGACCCTGAACCTATAGTGACCTGGGTCAGAATGAAGTTGATTAGATGAAAAGCTTCCAGATGGGATGATGTATTTGAACACTTGTCTCTCCTTGGCAGTTTTCTTGTGGTGCTTTGGGAAACCTTTTGTAGGAGGAGCCTTTCTTGATGAAATTCCTCACTAGGGATAAGATATGCTTGTCTATAGCCTCTACCCATTTTCTGTTAATTGTATGTACTGGTTTTTTTTTGTTGTTGTTGTTGAAACTGATAAGCCAGCTTCCGTCTCATTCTGTTATACCCTCTCCACCATTACAATTTTACATTACATAGTATAAAATTGAAGCAATTGCTATTCAATTCTAAGACATTTTGCTAGCCTGTATTTTCCTTTTTAAATTTTATTGTTTTTCTTTCTTTCCTTCCTTCCTTCCTTCCTTCCTTCCTTCCTTCCTTTCTTTCTTTCTTTCTTTCTTTCTTTCTTTCTTTCTTTCTTTTAACAGGGTTTTTCTGTGTAGCTTTGGAGCCTGTCCTGAAACTCACTCTATAGACCAGGCTAACTTCAAACTCACAGAGATCCACCTGCCTTTGCCTCCTGAGTGCTAGGATTAAAGGTATGTGCCACCAATGCCCAGCTATTTTCTTTTTTGAAGACAAGGTTTGTCTTCATAGCTCTGGCTGTCCAGAAAGTACCTCTGTATACCAGGCTGGCATCAAAATCAGAAGTCCAAATGATTCTGCGTTCTGAGTACTAGGATTGAAGGTGGGCCACACATGCTTGGCTGTTTTTTTTTTTATTTGTCTGTTTGTTTGGTTTTTATTGTTTGTTTGTTGGTTTATTATTGGCTGATAGACCTAGAATGGAGTTTTTTATATATGTCAACCATATGCCATTATGCTGAGCTTCACCCATATCTTGAATTTTGAAATTTGGCAAAGGGTAGCATTCTCTTTCCCAGGATGGCAGCATTCATGACATTAATACTGTTTGAGCCTTTGAGTCATTGGATTGCAGGTGTGTGACATTCTTCCTACCTATTGTATTTGTTTTTAATTCTTTTGAATGAATATGATTCATTTGCCTCTATACATGAATATTCCCCACATGTGTGCCTAGTCCTCACAGTAGTTAGAAGATGGCCTCAGATCCCATGGACTTGAAGTAATGGATAGTTGTGATCCCCTATGTAAAGTACTAGCAATTGAATCCACCTCTCTGCAAGACCAGCAAGAGCTCTTAACAGCCATGTCTCCTGTCCTTTGTTATTTTTTAAACATTTACATTGCTAATATTTTCCTCTGTCAATTTGTAACTATTTAAACACACATTGCCTTTATTGATATCTTATTCATGATACAATTTAAACTAGGACATTTCAGGTTTCTAAAAGATGAATATAGAACTACAGTAAATGCATAAGTCTTTGTAGGAACTTCAGTTTAAAAAAAATCTGATTTCTTTCTACTATTTTTGTTTGATTGATTTTTGTAGGGGAGACAGGGTCCTATTAATATATAACTATGGCTATCCTGGAGCTCACTACATAGACCAGGCTGGCATCCAACTCAATTAAATTCATCTGCCCTTGCCTCCTGAGTGCAGGGATTAAAGTCATGAGCCATACACCCAGCTTGCCCATCTCATTTCTAGTTAGTAATTAATTGTTCATACAACTTCCCTGATTTATTCTCAGTATCATTGATCTGCTTGCTTCTCTCTCTTTATGTTTGTTAATTGATGTTTCTCTTTCAAGGCTACATATATTCAAAGGGCCAAGAAATGACACATGGGAACCTCTTATTCAGTTTACTTCTAAAATTACTTGGTGATTACATTAGAACTTCTGTGTCATGGAATAAGTGTGTCTAGCACCAGAATTATATGAATATAAGTATACACCTACAAGCTGTTAGCATCACACTTTCTACTGTACACATGTATGGGATATTTTATAATGCATTGACCTATGAAGATGTGCATGTCAACTTCACTCAGGAAGAGTAGGCTTTGCTTGATCCTTCCCAGAAGAGTCTCTACAAAGATGTGATGCTGGAGATCTACAGGAACCTCATGCTATAGGTAAGACTGAATTTTCCCTCACAATTTAAAAGAGGGGGACAACTGTTCCTTGGTTATTGATGCTCTTCTGTAACTTCAATTGAGGAAGAAGAATGATGTGAATAAATCAGTCATGAATCTAAGGTTCACTGAATATAGTAATTTAAATATTGCACAACATCCAATAATAAATCATACATTTTTCTGGTTCTATATTTTTGGCTACAGTGAGAAGACTATAATATTGAGGAACATTGTCAAATTTCTAGAAGACTTAAAAGGTAATTTTTATGTGTACATGGATACAAATGTGCCTCTGAAGAAATTTTAGTGTGTCCTGGAAAATTTAAAGCAAAGTAACAGTGTAAATAAAATAAGCACAGCTTAATGTGTATTGATGATTATTAAATTCCCCCCAAATCATGTGCCTCAATGTCAGGTAGCTGATATGTGTTTACAAGGCATTCCTCTAAGAAAGAAAACAAGGAAACAATGCCTTTACAGATATCACCATTTGAATCACAGCTACATGAGAGATATGCTGTAGAACTGACAATCTGTTTGGTTTTATACCACTGAAATATTGCCAAAAGTATACATGTTGAATATGTGATAAGTTTATGTCCAAAACCTTCTAATAAGCAAATAGTCCATAGCAAAACTGGTGTTACTCATATACTTGTGACTTTGCTAATTTTGGTGAGAAGGGCAGTTTATACTAGTCAAGAATGTTGTGAAGAAATGTTAATCCCTATAGCACATGTCCATGAGGAACCAAAAGACAAACTGTGAATTCAATATGGAAAAAAATATTTTTCATTTTTTTTAATTGGTATTTCATATGTCATTCTAAATATAAGCCATGTGAACATGGAGATATGGATATGTTCTCCCAGAACAATTAAAAGATATTTAGCAGTTCCACTTTGACTAGATTTATTCAATGTGATATAAATTTACAATTATTTGGTTTTCTGACTTCATTGAAAATATATCAACAAATTCACACTGCAGAAAAACCTATAAGAATAGCAATGTATAAATACTTCTGTTTGTCCTGGTTTACTTTTCAAATGTAGCATGATTCACAGTATAGGAAAATTTAAGAATGCAGTATTTGTGGTAAAGCTCTGAGTTCTTCCAGTTCTCTTCAAATATGTGAAAAATGTCATAGGAAAAAGATGCTACAAATGTGAGCCATGTAATAAAAGCTCTTACCATCACAGGTATCTTCAAAGATGCAAAACAACCCTAATGAAGGGGAACACCATGAGTGTAAACACAGTGATAAAACCTTAAGATCTGATTTCTCTTTACAATTAGATCAAATTATAAATTAATTCATACAGATACAAAGATTCAACAGTGTAATGAATGTGGTAAAGCTTTTACATGTGCCAATTATCCTTGCAGCCACAAAAGAAGTCACACTGGAGAAATTCTATAAAGGTATTCAATATGATGAAGGGTTTATGCCTCCAGTAAGGAAAAAAAAGGAACTTGCAGGCACGAAGACTGACTTGTCTGTATGGGATGCTATTCTGTTTCCCTGGCACCTGCAAAAGCCTCAGTTAGAAGCCTGGTGTGGTGGTGAATCCAGATGACATCAAGGTTGTCAGGAGATCCTGAGACTTAAACAGAAGTCACTCTAAGGCTGGGGCCATCAGGCATTTACAAAGAAAGAGCCATGGAGTATGAAAGAACTGTTAGGGAGGGAGCTTTGAGTGTGAAAGCTAAAGGATCAAATGGCCAGAGAGCAATGCTTGGGGTGTACCTGAGGATAAGCTGGTTCCTACTGTGCTCTTTGTATCCACTCAGCTGTGGTGGATCAGGCCCTCCGGGTCTTCCATGGTTTCCTTTTCTTGGCATTACATGTAGCTGACTCTGCAGGCCTCCACTTTGCAGTCCCCACTTGGACCTAAAAGCTCCTCAGTCCCTACCCTGTCAATCCTTGGAAACTGCCTGCCTGGTAGGAATAAGGATATGCCTAAAAACACATTTATATCTCTCCCGTTTGCTAACAACTTGTGAAACAGTGGACCCCATGGAATTCTAGTTTCCCCAAGAATCTTATTGAGAAAAGACTGAGTCCTCAGATTGAGAATGTCTCTACTAAAGAAACATTTTCTCCTCATCTGACCACCTTTCTGGAGAGACAGGAGCTGAGAATGGGAGAGGTTTTTACAGATGGAAAAAAATTGATTATATGGCTTCATTAGATTAATTAGTTTTGCATATCTTTTGCCTTCTATCAAAACCTGTTAGGGCCCCAAGATTGGATTAGTTACCTTATATCTTCACCACTGTTCCAAATTAGTCAAACTAAATAAATATCATGTTTTCATTAATAATTTTCTTTCTCCCTTTTCTATTGTTTTCTTTTTTTAAAGCATAACTTTACTGTGAATCTATTTGTGGCCTGGAATTCACTCTATAGACTAGACTGTCCTAGGACATCAGAGAGGTCTGCCTACCATGCCTCCAGAGGTCTCACACTATAGGTAGCCAGATCATAACTGTATAACTCGGTTCTTTTAATTGACTTACTGAGGATGTGTGGGTGAACCTGGCTGGTTAGGGTAGCAAGGACACAGACACTTGTCTAACTCCAGTAACAGAAGAAGGTTCCCATCAAATGCAGGCCTCCTGCATATAAGTCTACTGTCTTTCAACTATGAACAATATTGTTTTTCATTATCATTGAGTCTGTTATAACTCATCAAAGGACCTGAGCATAGTTCTGTCCTTGTTTTCCAGTTGTTGAAACCCAGGCCCACCTAGATAAGTAGTTTTTAAATATAGTTATGTGTAACTGCTTATCTTACTCATCCTGTCTTTCTAATGCCTCACTAATGAAGTTGAAGACAACTAAGCCATACATGGTGGCACGGCCTATAATCATGATACTTAGAATTTGTAGGCAACAATTTTAGGATTTCAATTTCATCCAAGATGAGAATTGCAATGGGGTATGTTGGGAGGACTATGGAACTAAGGAAGAATGTGATTGGCTCAAAACAGTGTACATAGTCTTCCCTGCAGCTCCAGAATTTCAGAACCATAGCACCAGCAATTATTACCTGAGGTATTTACCACCTCAAGTTTTCTGTTCTTGATAATGTTTCCTGTCCAAGGTCAACTTTGGGGTCAACTCCTGTTGCTCATTAAAGAGTGGAATTCTCCTACATAAGAGAATTAGCCTCAAGCAGAGATGAGCTTCCTAGTTGCATATCCAATGCAATATCATCCCTGAAATCCTATAGACACAACCAACAGAAATGGACTCAGCAGTTTTTATTCATATATTTGTGCATATATATTCACACATACTTAACAAGAAAGAAATTGGAAGGGAAGAATTTGAAAAGGGATTGAGAGAGGACAAAGATGGTAGAAAGTAATGTAATATATTTTAAGTAAAATGTATCAAATAAATTTTAAATGAAAATGTGGCTAGAGAGATAGCTTAGCAGTCAACAGCACTGGGTGTAATTATAGAGGACACGTTTCATTCCCAGAAACCACCTGGTAGCTATCGCCATTAACTCCAGTCCCCAGGGATCTGGTGCCCTCTTCTGGCCTCTACAGGTACTGTGCACAGATGCTTGAAGGCAAATACTCATATACATAAAACAAAAATAAAGCTTAAAAAAAAAAAACTCCATCATGATGTCACAGCCCTGAGAGACAGCAGGGTAGATAAAATGAACTCCTTCTGATCCTTCATGGAACCAACTGTCTGCTTTCTCTGAGACAGCATGCTCAGGGGCAAAAATAGCCTTATTCTGTCTCAGGTTTGAATATCTCAGCAGGACTGTTCATCTAAGAACAGCATCCACAGTGACTTTTCCCTGATATTTTCTGTATTTGTGTTCTTAGCCTTTTGTATGTATGAGAATGAAAGACAATGATATATCTCCTAAAAGTATTGATACAACTTTTAAATGTAGAACCTAGTGTATCATCTAAAAGATGGATTTTTCTCTGTAAATCTTATCTAAGTGGCTATACTTGTGGTCTCCTGTCCCTATTTAAATTGTTCAAAGAATATCCCTTGGACCTGATCCTAAAAGAAACTTAAGAATGACATCATATATGTAATGTTGGATGCATGCTGTTATTAAACAGATTTTTGTTTATTAATCTCAACCATGTAGAGTGATTTCTCCCTATAAAGGCATATTACTTCTAGAACAGCTGTACTTCCTGCTTTTTGGAAAATGTTTCTGGAACAATCACTCTTATGCTGACTCAAGTGGCCTTGATTCCAATCTGTTGTTCCCCAGGGCAATGAACTTACTGTCCTCTTGATTAAAACAACTAAAGTTTTTTTTTTTTTGTGTGTGTGTGTGTGTGTGTGTGTGTGTGTGTGTGTGTGTGTGTGGGTTGAGACAGGGTTTTTCTGTGTACCTTTTGGAACCTATCCTGGAACTCACTTTGCAGAGCAGGCTGGCCTTGAACTCACAGAGATTCACCTGCTTCTGCCTCCCAAGTGCTGGGATTAAAGGCGTGTGCCACCACTGCCCAGCCAAACCAACTAAATTCTTAAATTAAAGGTCTGTACCATGACTCAGTTTTAAAATTACCCATTTGAGTCATGTAGTCAACTATCCATTGCAGTCATGGGTTTAAGATTTGTGTGTGAAGCATAGCTTCTGCCATCAGACCAGAATAAGAGGAATAATTTCTTGTGTACACTGCAGGAGGAAACACGATAGGCATTCAGCTGCTGGAGTCAGCATCTGATTGTGGCAGGGATAGTGATTTTGTAATTTACCAACATATATTAATTCATGTCATGTGAATGTAAGCTGGCCAGATTCATTGGTGTACAATTTGGGGAGGTTAACTTGAGCCAATGAATATTGAATTTCTATACTGGGGCACCACTTAGCAGATATGTTCAATCCTGGTTGGCACAGTTAAGTCAGCTCAGAGGGTTGAGACACAGGCCATTGGCTGTAGATGTGTGTGTTGGGTTACAGATCTCAGCAGCTAAAATTACACATATGGACACGGTTGAACAGTACCTTACTAATGTCATTCTCTCTACCAGAGGATGGCCTGCTCTTTTTCAAGGTCAGGATAGTTAGATGTTTTTTCAATTATATTTATCTTTTTAAAAAGTCTATTTTGATATTACTTTTTAAATTTCATTTGTTTTAATGTATTACTGCTATTATCTCTATTTGTGTCTGTTCTCCAATGATTCTAGGTCATTAATAGATTCTCTCCTTTTTTCTCAAGTGCTGTTGGTTATTTATTTCTGTTTAGACCAATGTCCCTTATAGCCAAGGCTTGCTTCATGCTATGTAATTGAGAATTGCTTTGAACACCCATTCCTGCCTCTGTTGCCCAGTGCTGAGAAGACAGTCATGCAACTCCTTCCAGGTTGGGCCTTGACTGGTCAGTGAGAAGGAAAAATAGACCAGTTTATGAATGTTCTCCAATCTCTCTGACTTTTATTGGGAATATACAAATGAATACAGACCTGTGCAATAGTTGAGTTCACTGACCAACTTTAATCATGTATAGTTCTAGCACAGAAAGGAATGGGGAAGAAAGAGGATGAAAGCTTTCCTTCTGTGATAGTAGTTGACAGTAGCAGTGAGTACTGAAGTAATCAATCTTAGATGAGCAATAAGTTTCCTGACTGGCCACAGACCAGAAAATCAAGAATCTGGAAAAAGAAACTTTCATGAAGTCAAATTACTGTAGTTGCTTCTAATTCAACCATAATAGAATACATGGGCAAATGATATGGTTCTACCTAAGAGGACTACTATTTACCAGGTTTAAGATGTACAGCTTGAGAGAAAATGTGTGAATAATCTTTTGTGTACTCTCATACAAATCTCTATTCTCTGGAGCACATTGTCATAAAACCTGTTTCAACTTTTACAAATAATTTTTGGGATTATGATTATGTCATTTCCACAGTCTCTTTCCTATCTCCAAGTCCAAGTATGTCAGCCATTCCAGGCTGGGCCTTGACTGGTCAGTGAGAAGGAAAAAGAGATTGGAATGAGTACCGTAATGCAGCCTATGTTTTTATTGGGGAGTGGCAATGCAGAGTTGCTTGTATAAGAATGGAAATTCATTGTCCACACATTATAAGCTATTAAGGTCATAGTATAGAAAGGTATGGGAGGGAAGGTGCCTTAAAGTTTTCCAGTTTTGTTTGCAGTTGGGATTACTAATGGGTAATCAGTTAATCAATTATAGGTGATCTATAATTGTCCTGAGTGGCCATTTTTGGGGATCCCCAGACCAGGTTCCTTGGCCAAGTGATTGACCTGTCCCCACTTAAGTCTTAGGTTTGCACCCAGGACAGATTCTATTCTCCTGACCAAGGGCCCCTTTTAACAGGCTTTCATTACAACTTTTAACTTTCCTTCTTCCTAAGACCCCTAGAATCACTTAGCATCAGGGATCAGAACTTCCAAAATACTTTTGGTATCTTTGGCTCTGGCAAGGATGAAACTGCTCAGAGTCCAAGTGACACTTCTGCCTATTAGTCAAGAAAGCAACTAGTTACTTTTCTTTGAGGTTTCTTTTTACCCTAAATTGTCTAATTGATTTCTACCTCCAGGTTTTATCCCACCTCCCTCTGGAGGGGTAATCCTAACTACCATTATCAGATTGGGGCAGTGACTGATCTGGTTTCTTCAAGCTGAATTTGTGTTATCAGGTGGCGGTATTGGGATACCCTTCCAGAGGGCTTCTCATAAAAACCAAACTCTCAAATGTAGATAGGAAAGGAATTCCTTTACTAGTGTCTGGGAAGGACTAAAATGTCCAAAGCCCATAAGACATTCTTGATGATCTTACAATAGTCCCCATCTATTAGATGCTTCTCTTTATACTCTACAGTTGGCCTCCAGAGTGATGAAACCACAACCAGTTTTCATGCCCTTTCATAGCTGTTTCATCAGCCAAAATTCAGCATAATGCTCTTACCATGTGACTTCTAGATAGGGAGAGAAGAGGTATTTAGCATCATTTAATTTTGGGGTTACAACAATCATGGACCTATCTTCCTTGACTGGGCCAGTGCTCAGGGACCCACAGTTTGATGTCTTACATCTGGGGAACATCTTTTTATCAAGAAGAAAATGTCATTGAGGTTGGTTGTCTAAATAACATCTCATGTTGACTTAACATTCAATGTCTGTGGAATGTGATCCCTTGAGTTGTTGCTAAATCTCTTAGTCTTTGGTTAAACCAATTCTCTTAGTCTTCCTAGTGCTGAAAACCATGCAGGTGGCCAAAATTAATCTTTCTTTCTGTATTGTCAAGGCCAGTTGAGCAACTAGTCCTCAATCATCACTTGTGCTTGAAAGGAACCTCAGACTATCTTCTAGTCTTAATTTTACCAGTTGTCCATCAATGTGAGTATAAGTCAAAGGCTTTCTTTTACATACTGTGGCTTCCTTGGAAGCCTTGAGGAAATCCTTCCTACATTGACCCTCCTTGTGTAGACTTAATGTTTCCAATTCATTGAGTGGGGTCTCCATTGTCTCCATGAACAAGACAACTAATGATCAATGGCTTTTGTTCCCAGGGGATCTCATTGACTTTTTATGGAAAGAGGAGAAATATTCTCCCTTTTAATCCATCTAACCATATTAGAATAACCTCCAAGAATGATTAGTAAACACCCAGAAGATCAGTATTACACCAGTTTGTTACTTTTAATTACTGTATAATATTTCAATAGCCAGACATAACACAATAAAATTTGTTTGACATACATTTTAGCCAGTCCTTGAAGTAGTTGATATCTGATCTTGCCAACTTTAGTAAATACATCATCTCTAAATCTTATCCTTTATTTACCTTAAACAACTTACTCAGACCTTTATAACTTGCAAAACCTTTCCAATCTTCCATATTCTGGAGCCATCCAGGTATCATCATCCTTATATAACTAAGCGTAAGGTCATTTCCACATTTATATTCTTCTAACATGTTCTTTTATGTATTGCTTCTTTTTCTAATACCATGAGACGTAGGAATATTAACAAATATGTTTATAATCTGTTGAATGCATTTTCTCCCTGGTGGAGGAAGGGGAAGAAGCATTGTTTATCCCATTTCCATAAGTCCCAATGGTAATGCAAATCTCAAAATGATTCCAGGGGCCTAGAATTTCACCAAAGTCCATCTTGGGGAACCAATGAGTTTATTGAGCTTACTTACTGAACATGGTTGAAAAGATACTTACCAAGGTTCTGATACTGTAGTGGTTTGAATCAAAATGGCCCCAAAGTCCCATAGGGAGTGGCACTAAAGGAGATGGGGCCTTGTTGTCGTTGTGGCCTTGTTGGAGGAAGTATGTCACAATCACTTTCTGCTGCCTGCTGATCTGGATGTAGAACTCTCAGCTCTTTCTCCATCACCATGTCTGCCTGCATGGCACCATGTTATATGCCATGATGATAATGGACTAAACCCCCTGAAACTGTAAGCCAGCTACAGTAAATGTTTTCCTTTAAAAGTGTTGCTGTAGCTGGGCAGTGGTGGTGCATGCCTGTAATCCCAGCACTCGGGAGGCAGAGGCAGGTGGATCTCTGTGAGTTCGAGGCCTGCCTGGTCTACAGAGCTAGTCCAGGACAGGCCCCAAGCTACAGAGAAACCCTGTCTCAAAACGCCTCCACCAAAAAAGTGTTGCTGTAGTCATGGTGTCTTCACAGCAATAGAAAAAAGATACCCAAAAGCTGTCACATATTGCATGAATCCTAAATGGTCTTATAGGGCTACAATGGGTTCTCGACCACCCTAAGGAGGGAATGTAGGGACAGGAGATACAGAGGAAAATACACCAACTCTAGATTCTGACCAAGGTGCAACTTTATTTTCTCCAGAAGGGTTTATATAGTTCCTGCAGGGTGGGGGGAGCAAGAAGCTGTCATCTGCATAAGGTGGGGCAAGCTAACAGGATGTTTGTATAGGATGTTTACAAGGTGAAAGGGTCAAGGGCTCTGACTCAATGTCCTGTTGCTAGGCAACCTGACTGTAAGATGATCTAGTTCCTTGTCTTATGGGGGTCTGTATTTTTCCACTAACTAGAGATTCTGTCCTTGTCCCTGACATTATAATAAAAACACAGAACCAGATATTGGGGTAAATGCTGAAAGATCAGAGAG